TAATAGAACTATATATTCACATGATGGTGCAAAACTAGTAAAGCCTTAATACAACATATAAGTTGCAAAAACTCAACATACAATTCCTAATTTATTTAATTAACTTAATTACTAACATACATTTGAAAGAGATTTCTAAGCTACCTAGGCCCAAATCTATCCAAACTAACAATAGAAAATTGACTAGACAACTACACAATACACCATATCAGAATAGGACACGGCTAAACCCATTAGTAACACGAATCTATTGGTGAGTAAGTTGACTGAAACATAAAACTCGGTTAAGGGAGTTTTCAAACTCAATTGACTAAGTTTCAGATATTGTCCAAAACTCAATCGACTTCAATGTAATTTTGTCGTAAGTAATAATATTATTAAAGTTTAGATATATAATAATAATTTATATAAATAATATTGTGCCTAATTTATTATTTGGGGATTTTTACAGTTAATTTAAAATAGGACACATTCCCTCTAATTTCTAACAACCGTTTAATAAAGAAAAAATGTAGAGAGTCGTCGTCTTCATTGTCACTACTAGAAACTTGAGTTTCAGCTACGGATTTAGAAAGGGATTTATTCTGTAGCAAAATTTTGGCTTATAGAGAGGGAATTACGAGAGATCTACGATGGTTTAAACAAGTATTTTATTTATTCAACATATAGCATATTAGAGAGAGTTTAGCGAGGGATAAGCTACGGGATCTTAATGGTATTTATCGACACACCCTTATTCCTCGGTAATCGGTGGTAAACGAAGGCATTTGGCGAGGGTTCAACGAGGGAAAAAAATCGTCTACTTTTTGCCATCTGGTATGTGTTTAGCGAGATAATGCCGACGGACCATACACACGTTATGTTTTTTTAATTGACGATCTCTACCTGAAATTGGCGAATCCAATTCCAGTTTCAAGAAGTTTGTGTAAGTTTCCTTCCCTCCCAAATCTGCTTTATCATTTCCAGTTGAACACGCATCACTCTCGAGTTGCAGCTTAACCTAATCTCACTCTCTCCGTTCAAACAGATGACGACACCATGGACCATTGCAGCTTCCGATTCCGACAGCCTCCATATTTTTAAAATCTAAAATTATTCTTCATTAGCTTCCGATTCAGGTAAACCTCTTGATTTTATTTGCTTTAGTCATATATTAGGTTAGGTTTGGTTCAATTGCACAATATATTACGTTAGGGTTTAATTTCACCATTTTTTTTCCTTTTTCAATCGTCATTCCTCTTATATCAATTGTATCTATATTAGAATAGATACTTAGAATTAGAACTTGATATAGGGCTTGATTGGTTGCTTTAGTCATATATAAGCCTGGTAGCATAAGTTTTGTGCATCAAAGCTTCACCCTGAAGCTCTCCTTGTTGGAAAATAATCCAATTATATATGTCCTTGGATCATTTATGAAATTAATTAAGTTCACAAGGTATAATTATTATTAATACCTTAAGGTTTGCCTAAATGACCAAATAGGTCTCATATTTATGTCTTACATTAATTGATGGGATTAATAGTAATAACAAAGACATGAGGGGCCTAATATGGATTTCCCATGAGATGTACTTCATATATAGCGATCAGAATGCAGGGAGATGGATAGTTCTTCACGTTCTTTATCTTTTCTCTCCATAACAACATCCTAAGAAACCCAATCGATCGCCTAATCTTCTCCATCATAAGAGTGCATCGTCTTGGCGAATCATTGATCATAAGGCAGTGAAGACCATGAGATTAACATCATTCTCCACCCGGTAAGTTCTTATCTTTATCATCATTCTGTCGATATGAGATTGTATTGAATTGATTGAGAAATCGTTCGATGTGGCCATCAATTCTCAACACTCCTGTCCTCTCTGTACATGCATCCACAAGCTCTGCAACAAGCCCAACATCACCAGTTTCATAGGCAATCATTGTTTGAATGGAGAAGAGTCATCACCCATCTCATAGTTGTAGGATGAACTGCTTCATCAAAAAAGTAAGTTATAAACTTGGAGGAGACAATCTTATGCCATTGTTCAAGAAGCTCTTCTGATGTAATGGTCACTACTAGATCAATTAGCATCTCAAGCAACATGTTTCTAACAATAATGTGTTTCCCCATTGACTCTCTTAAAATCTCATTTCTTGATGTCAGCTCTGGTGGATCAAAAGTCATGATCACAAACCTAACAACATGTTCCAGTTCAGAAACCAAAAACCCATCTTTCAATATCACTCCTAGAAGAGTCACCCCTGTGAAGTGTCACTAACAGATGCTGAACGAGGTTTATCCTTCGCAAAACTGTAAGATTATGGTTTATCCTTTGTATTAGAACTGTTGCTGCTACCCACAATGTCCAATCTAGTAACACATGTTCAACCATATCTGGATTTGAAAGAACAACACAGTTTGATGTTTCTGTTGGTAAGTCAACATTCCCTAAAAAATCATCCATATCTCCATGTGAAATATATTTAGTGTTATAAAATATAAATAGTTAAATACCTTGACTTTATCCAATAACCTTGAGAAATTAAGAGGAAACCCTGATTTTCCTTCCATTTGAGAAGGATCTCTTCCATCACCACCATATGTAAATTGAACAATACATGCACTTGCATCTCTTACTATGTTATCATAGTAAATTGATAAATCCATGTGAAGTATATTTAGTGTTATAAAATATAAATAGTTAAATACCTTGACTTTATCCAATAACCTTGAGAAATTAAGAGGAAACCCTGATTTTCCTTCCATTTGAGAAGGATCTCTTCCATCACCACCATATGTAAATTGAACAATACATGCACTTGCATCTCTTACTATGTTATCATAGTAAATTGATAAATCCATGTGAAGTATATTTAGTGTTATAAAATATAAATAGTTAAATACCTTGACTTTATCCAATAACCTTGAGAAATTAAGAGGAAACCCTGATTTTCCTTCCATTTGAGAAGGATCTCTTCCATCACCACCATATGTAATTGAACAATACATGCACTTGCATCTCTTACTATGTTATCATAGTAAATTGATAAATCCATGTGAAATATATTTAGTGTTATAAAATATAAATAGTTAAATACCTTGACTTTATCCAATAACCTTGAGAAATTAAGAGGAAACCTTGATTTTCCTTCCATTTGAGAAGGATCTCTTCCATCACCACCATATGTAAATTGAACAATACATGCACTTGCATCTCTTACTGTGTTATCATAGTAAATTGATAAATCCTCCAATCCTTTGATAAGTTTTCTAGACATGTAACCCGTGTCAGCTGTTTTCACCTGTGTGTGACACATTACAAAATTACCATAATACCCTTTTACTTATTATTTTTAAAACTTCGTTTTTTTAAGAGAAATTACCGTTGTGTCCACAAGACCTTCTCGTTCTCCCATGGTGTGGAAGAAAAACTCAGTAGCTGTTAAACCACTGTAAAAAGAATTTGCTACAAACCCTTTTGCCTGAATTGAAGAAAAAAAAAGATAAATATAAAAGAAAGAAAGATGATAGTTATATGTATGAGGGGTAAAAATGTAAAACATACAGCAGGGGTTTTTGACATTCTTTGAAAATGGGAAGACTTCTTCTGTCTATGAATCCGTTTGGAGCTCGTTGACCTCCTACTGATTGTTGACCAACACATGCAATCATTTGACTTATGTTGATTGGAGAACCTTTGGACCCACATTGAGACATAATTAAAAGGTTGTTTCTCCAATGTAGTTTTTCCATACATACCTGTTTATGTAAATTCATTATTCATTTAGTTGATTAAAAAAACATGGAGATAGATATTAATCTATTATTACCTTTCCAGTTTCACATCTGATCTTATTTAGTACACCTGTGATCTCAGCTTCAAGGGTCTGAACAACATTACAACCAGGTTGTAACTTGAGCTTTCCTTTATTAAAATCCAATATGAAATTATCACATTTTTTATTCCCTTGAGAAATAATTCTATTTGTGTTTTTATTCAAATTATCCCCAGGTTGCACATCATCAATTCCTATTGAGAATCCATGGTTTCCTATCCATTGAGCACTGCATCATAAATATAAATAATAGAACTTAATATAACATATCTTACTTTAACTAAATCAGATTCAAGAAACATAAATAAAAAAATGTGATAATTTTGGTTACTTTACATACTATTTGTTTCACAGGTGCTTGTCCTTTTGTGTATGACAAGCACTTCTATACTTATTTTTGTAGATAGATCAATAGAAGGGTGACTCTAATGGCAGCTCTACTTATGTAATCAAGGTGTATCTAAAATTCCAAATGACTTTTCATTTCTTTTGTTCTTGCTAATTTGTAGCATTATCTGTTATGTTTTGAAGGTGGAACTGTTCGCAGATAAGAATCTTATTGGTGCCAACTTGAATGACATGTAAGATCCTTATGCAATCATCACTTGTGGTACAGAAAAGCACTTTAGGTAAAATTTATAGCAAGATTTGGTCAATTTCAATTAAGAATCTCACTGGTTGCTTTTGTTTTATAGAAATGGTCATTTTTACTGATGTTGATCTGCAACTAAATGGTTCCTGGTTGAAGAAATCCAATGTGGGGAGAAGAATTGGATTTTTCTGTGGATGAACTTCCTGTAAAGGTAAGCTTAGCTGTTATCCACACAAATAATTTTGTAGTTGTTTCTTTTTATTAATTTTTTTAATCATTATTCATTTCTTGACAGATCAATGTGTCAATATATAAGTACGACATCCCTTGAGTAGTTCTCCAAGGCAGGTATGTAATTTTGTCTTATTTCCTCTTCTTTTTTGGCCAATGCATCTTTTGATCAATGTACTGTAACCATTGAACTATTATGATAAACATGTTCTAATGATTTCGTAGGAAACATGATAACAACCTCCATTAATGATTTTAGAAAGACAAATAGAATTATTTTTTTATTCCCTTGGTGGATGCGCTGGAGAAAGTTAGGGTGGATTCGTGGGATGTTTAGCGAGGAGAAAACAGGTTGATGCAAGTGTCGCTAGAGCTGAGGGTTTTCAGTTGGCCAAACGTCTCTCTGTTTTCAATCAACTTACGTATCATCACCTTTCACCTTTCATCGTCTATCTGTTTTGTTGATTAATACACGCTGTTTCTCCTAGTGTCGTTATGCAATGAATTTGTTATATATGTATGTATGTATGTTAGTATGTATGTATGATGTTGGGATGCATTGGTATCAATTAACCTAAAAGTTAAACCAATTTTATCAGGAGTTGGAGCAATAATTGGAGCTGGAGTTTACATTCTTGTTGGAACAGTTGCTAAAGAGCAAACAGGGCCTCCAATCACAATATCATTCCTCATAGCCGGAATAGCAGCTGCACTTTCAGCATTATGTTATGCAGAACTCGCATGTCGTTGCCCATCTGCAGGGAGTGCATATCACTATTCCTACTTATGTGTTGGAGAAGGGTAATCTCGTAATTTCTCCTAACAATTATCTTATTCATATAATCATATTTTCTTTCTGCAAATCAATATTCTATCCCCTTCAACTTCCAGTGTTGCTTGGTTGATTGGTTGGTCCCTGATTCTTGAATACATACTTGGTGGAGCAGCAGTAGCCCGTGGCATATCCCCAAATATGGTGCACTTCATCTCCTTCTTCTTTCAACCTAATTTTTAATTTCAATTTTCTTTTTCTTTTTTGAATTATAATTTCAATTTTAAGCAGGCTGTGTTTTTTGGAGGTCCAGATAAGCTTCCTGCTTTCTTAACTCGACCCATCATTCTTGGAATTGTAGTTGATCCTTGTGCTGCTGTTTTAGTCTTCATTATAACTGGACTACTTTTCACTGGAATCAAAGAGGTATTTTAGTCCTTTCAATTAATGACTTATTCTTATAGCACATATTCTTAAATTTTATTATACTAATAGAATGAATACTTTTAGAGTTCATTGGCTCAAGGCATAATCACAACAATAAACGTTGTAGCCTTGCTTTTCATCATGGTAGTTGGTGGATACATAAGTTTCAAGACTCAATGGGTGGGATATAAAGTTCCAGGCGGGTAATATGTTTATTTTTTTCACACGTGTTAAATTACCATTTTACCCTTGGCAACATGAAACATGTTTCTGATTTTTAGGTATTTCCCGTATGGAGCTAATGGAGTACTTGCTGGATCTGCAACCGTTTTTTTCTCATATGTTGGTTTTGATGCAGTAACCAGCACAACAGAAGAGGTAACACTAGTGATTGTGATTGTGATTGTTCTTTCTGAAGGGTATAATTGTAATTTTCATATTGTTTATATTACAGGTGAAGAATCCTCAGAGAGATTTACCTATTGGGATTGGGGTATCACTGTTTATATGCTGTGTTTTGTATATGTTCGTATCTGCTATTGTGATTGGTTTGGTGTCATGTTCCCAATTAGACCCTGATACCCCTATCGCCTCTGCTTTTGCTAGTTATGGAATGAATGGAGCAGTGTAAGCATACAACATTTCTTTCTGAAGAGTGTAATTGTAATTTCATCTTTATTTACATCTAAAATCATTATCATGATTTCAGATACGTTATAACAATCGGATCTGTTATTGCTCTCTGTGCTGCTTTAATCGGTGGAATCCTTCCTCAAGTATATATATGCATGTTTCTTTTTTACTTAATGCACAAAGCATGTCTTGATATAGGTTAATTGAAAGGGAGGGTAAAATGGTCATTTATACATATTCTGATAGTCATTCGGTAACTTTGATAGTTTTTGTATTATAATGTTTGGTTGTATCATTATTTGATGTTTTTTAGTATAATAATTTGATGATTGTAGTATTTTTTTCTTTTAGAATCATAATAAAAAAAATGATATTACAAGTTCGCGACGAATTAGTGACAAAAAAATAATAATAATAATAATAATGCATGAATTTTGTGAGGGATTAGCTACGGAAAAAAAATCACGTCTAAAGTTTGCGACGGATCAGCGACGGAAAAAGAACAAAGATAATTTGTGAATTTTGCGAGGGATTAGCTATGGGAAAAAACCATGTCTAAAGTTTGCGACGGAATTTTTTTTTTAATATATGAACTTTGCAAGGGATTAGCTACAGAAAAAAAAAACTGATCAGGGAAGTTTTGCGACAGAACAACGACGGAAACTCTTTAACAAATTTTGTCGTATGTCCTGGGTAAATGTATTGAGAGACGGATATTCTGTCGCTAAATTTGTCGCAAGGAAAAATTGATCCGTCGCTAAAACCTTCGCTGAGTCATTAGCCACGTTTTAATTACCTATGTAGTGAAGCTGTCGCTGATCCATCCCAAACAACATTTAGCGACGGAATAGCGACGGATTCGTCCGTCTCTAAAACCCCTGTTTCTAGTAGTGTTAGAAGTAATTTGTTTTATTTAATATAATGGTTGTTTCAGTAGTACTAATTAATTAACTATGTACGTATAATTTATTTTAGTTATAAATCTATTATAATATAATTTATAAAGTTAGTGTAATAAAAAATATGGGTCAAGTTTGTAAAAACCTAATAATATAAGAGTTGTTTTTACAAAAATTACAAAAATTATATTAAGAGGAATATACCTATTTTATTCATTTTGGTTTTAGGCAGGAGAAAATTTAATGTTAAGGGGAATAGACCTATAGAGAATTTGATTGGATAAATTACATAAGAGCTATTAAATTTTAGCCACTTTAATGGTTTAATTATTATGAATAAAAATATTTTATTAAAGCCATTTAATTTTGATACATATTTGTCAAATTAAATGTATCTGATGAAATATTTAGATTCGAATGGGTCAAGTGACCATGCAAAAGTATACAAGACAATATAAAAGTTGGGAAAAAAATTAAGACAATACTGCAAGAGAGTTTTTAAAAAAAATGGAAAAAAAAGTTAAGAATTAAAACTTATAAACCATTTTAAAAAAATCTTAAAAACTTTATACAAATAGTCAAATATACATTTGTATAAGAAACTAAATTTAGGGAGAATCGTAACAAAATTTTAATTTCTATCTAAATTTGTAATAAAATTTAAAATGTATGTCAAAATGTAAAATTTGAAAGATGAGTGACTTATTCAACCTGTGCTAACAAGTAACTATACAAAAAACATAAGTAATTGTATTTTAAAACGTGTTCATACAATTTGTATTTAATATATTTTGTTTTCTTGCGCCGGATAAGATGAAACTTTTTAGTAGAGTACATCGGATCACGCATAACAATATTATATCCCCTAAATCTATGAATGTAGTCTTCAAAAGAATTGGTTTAACCATACAAAAAGACATAACGGTGCAACTTGTTGTCTGTTTGTCTTCTCATTCTTTGTACGATGATAACTAAGATGTATTAATTAAAAAAAATTAGTTAAATGAATTATTACATTCAAAAAGAAAAATTTTAAAACATAAAATCGATTACTTAACTTTAAAATGTTTTAATAAAAACCGTTTCAAAAACGTTATTACTCAATATATTATAGGTATTACATCGAACCTATCTATTTCTATAGTCTTTTTGTCTCTATCCAAATGAAACAAGAAACTTGTATTAGGAATTTAGGATAGAAAAGAGAAAACACAAACATATTCTCTAAAACATCCATAGATATCCATATCGAAAATCCAGAACACATCTACACAAAAATCCATATCTACAATATTCATGAATGCCATTCCAGGAACACCAACACCCTTCTATGGACATTTTGAGGCCGAATCCGGATTTGTCTGACAATCCACGAATATCCATAATACCCCTCTACGAAGACTCTAATGTATTTACCAAGTTTCTTAATTTGCAACTTTAGTAAATCGACTTGGTTTATTATCCATTATAACTAAGCCTTACAAACATTTTTTTTTGGAGTGACATCCCTTGTATAAAATTACATGAAACTAATGTTTAAATTTAGCTTATCATACATAGGAGTATAGGGCTCAAAAAAGCTTTTAGGTCAAGTCATGTCGTTTTGATCTTAACCTCGCATGGTGTTGTCCCACAAAATAAATGATATATTTTGTTTTGGAGTTTTCGCATTTTATTTCTCAAATCAAATCACACAAAATCTTTACGGAACCTTATTTATAATACACCAAAATATATATATATATATATATATATATATATATATATATATATATATATATATATATATATATATATAGAGAGAGGTAAGTTCAATTGAGAAAATAAAAAAGGTTAAAAATGGGGAATCATTCACAGCCACTCATTTATTTTTGCCGCAAAAGCCTTAATCGTACCGGCCTAAATGTGAAATGAATACACATGTGTTTTCCAACAAAGCATGTTTCCTTAAACTATGCTAATAATTACCTTAATATATACAAAAACATAGTTTTTTTTTTTTTTTTTAATTTTTAAGGAGCTATTTTTATCGAAAAATGATTTTAAATATATCAAAATTCATAATTTTTTATTCTCTTCAAATAAACATCCATATTGATATAGTTTTAAAATAAATTAAAATTTTTAATTTTTTATAGTTTCAGCTATCGTTATTCATAAGTGAATATAAATAAATCAGATTTTTACAACAGTACATTCGTTATTCACTTATGAATAAAAAAATGTTTTTAAATTTTTTTACAGTTTAAGTATCGCTTATACTACTTATTCATATATGAATAACAAATTAACTGTAACAAAAATCTAATAAATGTTTTATTCATATATGAATATAAAATATGACGACAACTAATACACGTTTTATTCATATATAAATATAATATATGACGAAAGATGATGTAAAAAAATATATTTTAAGTAAGAAAACTTTATTACGAGTTATATTCATATATGAGCAAATACTCAAACTATTAAAAAAAAGTCAAGCATACGTTTTATTCATAAGTGAATAACGAATGTACTATAATAAAAATCTGATGAATTTTTATTCACTTATGAATAAGAAGAACTGAAACTCTACAAAAAATAAAATTTTTGTTTTATCTTAAAACTATATCAATATGGATATCTATTTATAGAGAATAAAAAATTATGAATTTTGATATATTTAAAATAATTTTTCGATAAAAATAGCTTTCTAAAAATCAAAAAAACAAAAAAAAAGTATGTTTTTATTTATATTAAGGTAATGATTAGCATAGTTTAAGGAAACATATTTGGTTGGAAATCACATGTGTATCCGTTATCCGTTTCCGCCAGTACGCCTAAGTGTTTTGCAACAAAATAAATGTGTGGCTGAGAATGATTCCCTCATTGTCAACCTTTTTTTCTCAATTGAACCATCCCCTATATATATATATATATTATATATATATATATATATATATATATATATATATATATATATATATATATCATATATATATATAGGTAAGAGTTCATTTGAGACGGACATAATTTTGTGAGACCGTGAGACCAATTTTTTTAGTGAAATATTCTAATATTCTAGTAATCGTAAAAATATAATATGTATAATATTCTAACATTATCTGCTTTTAGAATATTTTAATGTAAAATGTGTTAAAAATATTGTTTTAGAATATGAGATATTACATATATTATATTTTTTTTGAATAACAGAATATTAGAATATTTCACTAGAAAAAAGTGGTCTCACGGTCTCACAAATTAGACCCGTCTCAAATGAACTTTAACCCTATACATAGATATCTATATATATATATATATAGATATATATATATATATATATATATATCTATTTTATATATATATATATATATATAGAGAGAGAGAGAGAGAGAGAGAGGCGAGAGCGACAGAGAGAGAAAAAAAAATCAATACATAACCATAATTATTGGTTTTTCAAAGAACCAATTTTTTTTTTCAAGTTTTAAATTTAATTGTTTATCGAAAAAAAACTAAAAATTTCTAAATTAATAATTTCACATTGTGAATGCTAAAAAATAAATAATATATTTTTCGAGTTCACCGCTTTAATTCAGATTCACACTGTGAATTTGACAATTTTTTTTATCGAATTTGATATCATTGGAAAAATGATAAAAAGTTATGAGTTTTTATATTTTTAGTTTTTTTTTAAAAGATAAGCTCTAAGTGATGAAAAAAAGATTGGTTTCTTGGTTAATTATATTTCTCTATTGAACCTCACTATATATATATATATATATATTATATATATATATATATTATATATATATATATATATCTATATATATATATAATCTATAATATAAAAGTTCAATTGAGAAAATAAAAAATGTTGAAAATAGGGGAATAAATCTCCGCCAATCATTTATTTTTGCAGCAAAACTCTCTATTGTACCGGAGGAAATGAGAAATGAATACACATGTGTTTTCCAACCAAACATGTTTTTTTAAACTATGCTAATCCTTATCTTAATATATATACAAAAATATAGTTTTTTTTAAAGAGTTATTTTTGTCGAAAAACTATTTTAAATATATCAAAATTCTTAATTTTTTATTCTCTATAAATAGACATCAATATTAATATAGTTTTAAGATAAAATAATTTTTTTTATAGTTTCAGCTTTCGTTATTCATAAGTGAATAAAAATGTATCATATTTCATTACATTACATTCGTTAATCACTTAGAATAAAAAGTATATTTAATTTTTTTGTAGTTTAACTATCATTCATATGTGAATGAAACATGTATTAGCTCTTCTCATAAGTTATATTCATATATGGATAACACATTTATCATAATTTTGTTACAGTTTAATTGTTATTCATATATGAATAATGAGTTCGAATTTTCAAAACACTTCATATTTTATTAACATACTACTTATTCATATATTAATAACGAATGTACTGTAACAAAAATCTGATAAATGTTTTATTCATATATGAATATAACATATGACGATAGTTAATACACGTTTTATGTACATATGAATATAACATGTGACGAAATATGATGTAAAAAAATATATTTTAGGTAAGAAAACTTTATTATATGTTATATTCATATATAAATGATACTTAAACTATAAAAAAATTAAGCATATGTTTTAATCATAAGTGAACAACGAATATACTATAATAAAAATCTGATACATTTTTATTCATTTACGAATAACGAGAGCTGAAACTATAAAAAAAATTAGTTTATCTAAAAAACTATATCAATATGGATGTCTATATATTGAGAATAAAATTTATGAATTTTGATATATTTAAAATATTTTTTTCGATAAAACTAGCTACTTAAAAATAATAATAATAATAAAATTATGTTTTTGTATATATTAATGTAATGATTAACATAGTTTAAGGAAACATGTTTGTTTTAAAACATGCGTGTACCATTTGTCCATTTCCGCCGATACGTCCAAGTGTTTTGCATCAAAATAAATGTGTGGCTGAGATTGATTTCTCCATTCCCAATCTTCTTTTTCCTTCAATTGAACCATCCTCTTCCTCTCTCTCTCTCTCTCTCTCTCTCTATATATATATTATATATATATATATATATATATATATATTATATATAATATATATATTATATATATAGAGAGAGAGAGAGAGAGAGATGTAGGTTTGATTGTGAATCAATCAAATTTTCAAATAAATAAACAAATAAATATATATTAGTAATATTAAAAATATATTAATTAATTTCCCAAATTAACTTGTGATATCCCTTTATTTCAGGGATCAATTTCTTATTAGTCCGATTAAATCCCCCTCCACCGTAAGAAGACTAACGCCGGTGAACTGAATCAGCCTCTTTCTTCCTCACACATACAACCGCTTCTTTCTTCTTCCTTTTGCGTCGTCGGTCACCTTCCTCCTTGTCTCCGTCACCAATTCATCGTCCTCCTCGCCAGTGCTTCCTCCGCCTAATAACAGTGACACCAACCTCCGCCTAACACCAAATATAGGATACTCGAGTGACACCAAAGTTGAAGTTGGATCGATCGTAGATTGAAATGAAAGATTTTTATGGCCTCTTGATCACTAAAAACCATTTATAGTCTCCGATGAAAATCATTATACCCCTCCTGCTTTTTTTTTCCCAGGTCGTATGTGCACGACAATGGCAGTGGCTCAATTTCCGATGAAATTCATCTGACTGATGCATGCTTAATCTCCATCAACGGTTGTAGACCCCTTTCCCATCAGCCATACGTAGGTAAGTTTTATAGAATATTACATATTTTCTACACTGGATTTATTAATTCAATTTCGGTATACCTGCAATTCATTTTTGATTACATCAGGAACCTTAGCACTTGCAGTCGTTGTCCGTAACCCTACAATTGACTTATTACTTATACTAGTAAAACAATGTCTTTTTTCCTTAATTTCTTTTATATATTAGTAAATCTAATGTCCGTACATGAATTTATCATCTGCTATGAATTTATGGAAAATGTTGTTTGGCCATGGAAGCTACTTGATCTCTTTCACTAAATGAATTGGTGGTCTAATGTAACTCATTTTTAGCTTCTCATGTGTGGTTATCTGATTAAAAAAATTCATTGTAAAAGTGGTATGATGAAGCCTGATCGGTTGAAAACCCTCTCTCCAATATAGATTTAGGGGAACTTGAGGTAACATGAGCTTGTGTAATGGCTACTTTTGTTAATCCATCAGGTGATACTGCTCGGATATAATCCCAAGATTGTTTTCAGGAGTCACATAATGTTCATCAGATAAAGGATTTGAAATGTATAGTATTCCATTCCCGTTGTCAAGGGAATAAAGACAGAGTGAATCAGAATTCTGTTGTTTAGGTTCAATTACAGTTGTCAACTTTCAAGACTTTCTTAGATCTTGCTGGGAATCATTTAACATGGAAGGATTT